ATAATAAACTGTAGAGAACTCTTAAAAAGGTCTATACCCACACCTAAATATTTCAGTTCATCTGTTTTGTAAAATCCTCTAAGTGCTAATTCAGTTTACATGTTCTTTTATGACTTTTTGTGTTGCGTTTAGTGAAATGTCAAATGCATATAGAATCTTCATGTCCTGAAATGTTGAGATGATTGAGGTCTCTGAATTGTTTTGACCTTTCCTGACAAAGCAAAAATTGACTTCCTCACAAATTGTTTCACTTTATCCCCCAACTAAACAGTTAACGAAGATGGTAGTGTCAGGCATCCCTGACATGCATGCAATTAATATTCCCTGCTGTCTGCATTGTTTATACAACAGCTGGTAAACATGACTGACTTTTGTTGCAGATGTTGGATGGTGGTCATGCTCTGCTAGAGGAATATATTAATTCGCTGACAGGCCCTGGGCTCTCCCTGCTATTAAAACTATTTATTTACCCCCTTCTAATGGCATAATTAATCCAGCCTGAAATTGGTAGTACCACATAAACCACTGTCTGCCCATAATCTGCATGACGGCAAATGAACTCCTTTTATGCTAGCTATTGGCTTCTGTGGTGGCTTCCTTGTAAAATATTAAATGTTTGGTCCTGCAGTCAGAGGCATAGCATGGTGTTTTAGCATGCTGGCATACCTGTCTGCTTTTGGTGTGTAGTTTTATTTTCTAGTCCAAGAACTGGAAGAAATGGTCACGGATGAATATGGACTTTGTTTTTTTTAATCAGATAGTTATGTATTGTAAAAACATTGACGTAAAAACTGACAGTTTTTATACATCCTTATGTTTTTATGATATCATACTGTTCAAATTTAGCCCTCTAAGTGCTGTTAGCTAATCTTAGTTTTCTATACCGAAAAAGAAAAACATGGCAACTTAGGTCTTTCTCCAAAGTGCTTTTAATTCATCCACACAGAAATTAATCAAGTATTGAACATTTTTTTGCAGTGTACTCATGCACATTCAGTAATTATGAAGGCTTGCTGACAAATAAGGCCTTTGCAAATAAGCCAACTTATCATATCAAGATTGCTGTCACAATTGATGGGTAATTATGTTTTCTGTCTGGGTGCTATATCACATCCCTCTGACACATCAATTGACAGGCCAGGTTGCAGGGGACACTAAATAATACCTGGGGAGAAATATACCATGAGGCTTCCCAGCAGCAATTTGGGAGTAAACTTCAAGGCAAAACAGAGTTTAAGAAACCTTTTGGCTAGATGTTTATTTTGATCATCGAATTATCTGCATAGTTGACAGGTGAACTGAAAGACTGACAGAGACCCAATTCAGCTGTGAGTGGGTGTTGAAACATCTGGTAGTAAAGAAACATCCAAAGACACTAAGCCCAGAGGGATCCTTTAATTTGTCCTTGTCTGAACCAGTGACTCCCTCACAGATTTTCCATAAATAACTGAATTCCTGTTGGGGAGGGAGAGACCTGCTTACACACAGAGGTTTTAATTTATTTATTTATCATATTTTGTGTATTTATTCATATATCTTCCATGAATGCTGCTAATCTCTAACCAGACAGTGGTAGAAAATATCCTCTACATCATTGTATTGAGTTTTACTGATCTCATTTTTTTTTACATGAAAAAAATTATTTTAAATTCTTTTAAGCTGTTTATAATTCCACAGTTCATCCACTTCTGAGCAATACACAATATTAAAATAAGTTCAAATAAGGTAACGACAATGGACAGATGCTTGTCACACAACACAGTATAGCCGGCAATACTGTCCAGTATTACATTCAAATCTTAGCACTATGAATACTTGATATAGATTACTCATTAATTATATACAGTACAGATTTGAGTCATTCTTTATTTATTTATATTTTTCTTACAAGGACTACATTTCTTTACAATTTCTGTGTTTTTAAGTAGTCTCGGGCTTTAGGCTTTCAAAGTTTTTCCTTAGACATTGGCTGCTTTTTCACTAACTTTTTCAGCTTAGCCTTTGATTTTTTTCTTTTATATCCAGAGGAATGTTTCTGTAAATCATTTAAGCATAAAAAGGCACCTAACTCAAGGGATGAAACAGTTTTGTTTCCACACACAACAGACAACTTAGTAGAAAACCAATTATAAAGTGTGACTTGAGGCACTTGAAAAATGAAAAATATTCATAGTCCATCTCCTATTAACAGTGGACCATGAGCTCCTGTACTATATCTCTCTATGAGTGCACAACGCAACCTTGGATACCTTTATTGAGCCATTGCTTGGATGTTGACTCTAATGTTCAGTGTTGTCTCCCTTAGCCTCTGCAGTTCCATTTCATACTGCAGGGTCTGCCTCATATAACTCAGAGACCTGCTGTGACTCCAAGGGCAAAGAAATATTTGTCCTCAATAATCAGATCCTATAAGAGATGCCTCCCTCGCAATCTCAGGAGTTTGATGAGTATCATAAAGGCAGTCAAATACTGATTTCAATCTGCAGATGCCTGGGAAGAAAGATTTCATTATCTCAAACACCATGGCTTTATGACCACGTGCTTGGTGGTGCCATTTCTGACCATAAGCCTTTTTTTGTCAAGCATTTGTCAGGCATTCTGGTTGTCATTATCGTCATTAACGTCACTGAATTGCAAAAAAGGGCGATCTTTGTTTCACAGAACCCAGCTAGAACACTGAACTCTTGGGAGGTCATGGTACACTCATGCAGCTGTTACCATTTGTTTTCTCTAATGAGCAGTTTATAGTAGATTGGGAAGAAAAATAATCAGACTTCATCTCAGTAGCTTGTAATATACATGTTTCTGCGTCAATGGGCCTCAAATTATGGGTCTTATTCATTTCACAGCTACCCAAGGGTCTATTCCATTGGGTAATGAATATTATGGCAGACAGGGAGGGCTCGCTCACCCCATCTTCCTCTTGTTGCTTGAACCTGTAATAAATTTCCTGCCATTGCCATATGGTACCAAGTCATGTGTGGGATTCAATATGCCATGTTATTTATTTATTTCCCAGGTGTTGCTTTTCTGTTAGTGATTTATGTGTTATTGTGTGTGATCTCCGTCTGGGATCTATGACATGGGTTGTGGAGGGTTTTTTGGAAGACGGCCCGAGTTGAAACACAGCCATGGGTACAGAATATTGTAGCAGTCGAGTGATGCTAGGACAGTCAGGAATAGGGAATGGTCAGCAACATTTTGTAGTAGTGATTCATGTAAAGAGAGAAGGGCAAGTGAGAAGATTTGTGGCTACCCAGCAAGTATTTAGCAACAAATATCTATGTTAAGTTCATATGCTTGTGCTGTCCTTCAGCATTTCTGATAATGTGAGGAAGTGAGCAGAGAAAGTTCTTTTGGTCTTTTCAGTTGTGCCATGGAAAAAATAAATATATTTTTTAACAGTGTTAGGGTTGTTTCTTTTCTTCTCCATATGATGGTTCAGATATTTAACTTGGTTTTATTTCTTAGTAACCCTATCTCATGAAATGCATCAAGAAAAAAAAATGCCATCCAAACTTTTTTTTTTCCATCTCTCTTCCTTTTTCATTTTTTTCATGTTGTTGGAATAAAGTTGATCTTTGACCCAAAATTTGTCAGAAATTCTTAAATTGTACTGTATCACAAAAACAGTGCAGATATACAGATTGGGATCATTAATACCAATAAATCAAGCATGCTGTGCGCATTACTGCCTCATACATTATCTTTGAGCCTCAGCTCTAATATTATGGTGACACATTATGTCAATGTGATTACAAATCACTCATTTCTCTCAGGGTCCAAGGAACCATTACTGCTGCTACTGCTGCATAACTTGACTCTAACTGGTACGCATGGAGAAGTGTTTGAGACAGCCCACGCTGTAGAAATGCTAAGTCAAGAGAAATAGATGTTAGGGCTATGAGGGGGTCCCTGGGAGATTTTGCTCCACAAAAGTGGAAAAAACATGTTAAAGTATATATGTGTATGTAATGTGTCTGTGTGTGTGTTTTTTTTTACAGCACCTATCCAAAGTCCAGAGGTACGGTGGATGGGCTATTTTGTGACGGCTATTTTAAACCATCCCAATTAAATTCAAGAGGTCATCACAGTAATCAAATTTGCAGGCTTTAGGGGAAATTAGAACCTCTGGGCTATTTTATTTGCAGGGTAACTACATTCAGATATGCTTAATTTCAAACACCTCCCAGAAGAGTTGTCTCCTTGAGTCAGTAAACAAGGATGTTAGATTAAATGAAAAATAGATTTTCCGTTATTAGATTGTTTTCCAACAGTGAAAGTGCACGTGTAGTAAATTGGAAGTCTTTTAACTCAATTAAGGGAGCAAGATGGAAATTATGTTGTTATCTTTAGCTGCCAAAAGCCAAATATAACACATCATATTTTAGTCAAGTCCTGGGCTATTGCTGATTTTGTATCTGCTCACCATGGCCCCCTAATCACTTTTTTGTGCCCTGATCTTTAGTAGATCTCTCAGTGGGGATTATAGTGTGTCATTAAGAATGAAAAATAATATCTTTATTAGGGCTATAGTTCATGCAAACATGCTGTGAAATATTATTTGCCTCTCTGGAAGCTCAGTAACAAATGACAAGAACGCCTCTGCACTGCCGTTCAATAGAGTTTGGAAAAGGGAAACACAGGATTTGACAAATGTGCCCTGCAGAATTTGTTCCTTAATAATTGGTTGGACTACATGAATATTTAAATGGAAATGCAAGGTTATACCTCTGGTCAAAAGACCTATCTCTGTAAAATGAGCCTTCACTAAATTGGTTGATTGAAAGGAATAGATTTTTTCCCCCATCTTTCTGTCATAGACTGTGCCGAGTAGATATTAGGTTTCTCTCTTTTTGCTCTACCCTTTAGCTTTAACGATGGTGCTCTTAATCTGGTTGAAACACCTCGTTCTCCTAAGGGTGCCAATAAAGAGTGGATTTTTTTAGCTAGTGGCAAACACTTAATAGTGAAATTTCATTCCTTCATTCTCTCAACAGACAAAGTTACGATGGGCTGGAAAAGAAGCTAAAGGAAGTCTTCACTGAACGAAGCAGCATTCTGCACCAGCTCTCCAAGACTTCAAAGGAACTGGACAGCATAAAAGGCAACCTTCAGGTTGAACTTTTACTGTTTCTCTTTTTTTCTTTGCAATGTTTGAAAGTTTATTCGGCTGTGAATTTTGCTCAGTTCAGTCATTTTCTAATCCCTGTTTTCAGCCGTTTGAAGGCTGGATTCATGAGTCCTTGCACACATTTTTAGTGAATTTGCAGTAAACCTGTTGTTAAATATTAAGGTAAAAATGTTTTTAAGTTCAACAAGCCCACCCATTGTTACATACGTGATTTGTTAGTGTTTCTACAGCTGCTGAACAATGTAAATGTAGAGCGCAGACTGGGTAAGTCATTTTTTGGCATGAATAAAAATCCAGGGCTTAGAAGTAGACGACCAGAAATCCAACATTATCGGGAAATTTCAACATAAGGATGGATTCAGCATGGTCCCATTCTCTTCTCAGGACCTTTAGCTGTCACTGATAATCTCCTCAAATTACATTTACTAAAACTTTAAGTACAGTAATTTTTTTTATTAGCGTTGATATCACTGCAGTGACACTGTGTAGGTTAAATGTTCGATCAGATGTTCATACAGGAAAAAATCCACAGGCTACTTCAATTTATAGTAGCAAAGAACAAAAGGATTCAAATTTCTTACATGTTGTCACAACTTAAATATGAAACTTTGACCTATGCTTTGTAGTTGTGAGAACTCACTTCTACCTATCCAGTAAAGACTAAAAGCTACACAATATGGTAAAACTGCTCACTCATTTACAGGCAATAAATTGGTCTGACAACTAATTAAAATCTATCTATCTATTTATCTAGATAGAGATGTGTGCGTGTGTGTGTGTGTGTGTGTGTGTGTGTGTGTGTGTGTGTGTGTGTGTGTGTGTGTGTGTGTGTGTGTGTGTGTGTGTAAAGTTTAGAGGATGCTTGCCCTAATTAAATTTTGGCTTGAAAACAAGGTTGGGAAATATATATCACACCTCCTGCAGTGAGGGTGGTTTGCATGAAGTAAGAAAGTTTCTTTTTTTAAATTAGCTCATAAGACAACTTTGAGTGACTATGAGGATTATTTGGTTTGTCGCAAAGACGGGTATCAGTTGGTTCTGCCAAATAACAGTCTTGAACATTTCACGTACCTTATTATCCTGGACAGTAGATGTTATAATGCTGTGAGAACACAATTACCACAGTGCTGGATGCTGTAAAGCACTTCTTACCAGTCAGTTTAGGTCAACTTCATTATGGCTTCTGGCAGTAACAAGAAAAAAGTCAGTTATAAATTCAGATATTTTAATCACTTGGTATTTTTCAGTCGCATCAGGATATGCAGTCCAACAAAACATGCCTCCCACTTGGATGCTTAGGTCTTGGGAGCCAGATGCCCATCTTTTTCTATCCAGCACTTATAAAGTTGCTGTCTGAGTGATACTTCGTCTGTGCAGCAGCGTTTTGCCGCTTTAGGCCAATTTGTTGTCTACTGGAATAGTCAGAAAATCAATAATCAAACGAATTATATGGCCAGTTTTCCATCAGTGATGTGTGTTTGCAAGAGATGTCCCATGTGTCTGGAAAAAGCTCATGTAGTCTGTCTACAACTATTCCCTGGGGCAGGCTTTGATGTCTACTCACTCCAGGCTAGCTAGTTTGGCATCAATCTTCGCCGTGGGCCCTGTGCCAGCGTGCTGGGCAGGGCAGAGGTTGTGTTGGATTCCAATTTCTGTGTAGTGGAAGAAATCTATTCTTCAAGGGGGAAAACATCATCAACATTTAAAAGAGATCAAGTCAACAAGATAAAACATTTAATGTTTCTGGAAAGAAATGATGGCCCATGTGAAGTGTTTTGAAACATAATGAGCTGCTCTCTAGGTGCATTTCGGTAACCCTAATAATTAAACCTATTGTGATTGGGACTTTAGTCTTTGCTGCAGCTCCAGGGACATTAAGAAGCAGTTAACTGTGGGCTTTAAGTAGCTGCTTTGTTGTTTAAACTTAATGTCGTGACCACATAACTTGAGAGGATTTGCACATTTAACGCAATGTAAGCCCATTTTGTAGCTGCCACACTAACGTCTTTCAGTGATTTTTATTGTTGTTTGTGTTATAGAGTCGATTACTGAATACTAACTATTCTTTTTCTCCACAAATAAAAACATTTTTTAGAATGGTTGCTCTTACGGGACCTGAGTCATCAATGTGCTCTTGGAGTAATTTTGGTCGACTGACCATTTATCATTTAAAAAACAGCATTTTGTGACTACATGGGCTATTGCTGTCTAATATTAAAATCATTTTAATGACCTGAAACTCCAAGTCTGACAAAACTGTAAAAAATAAACACAGAAAACTAGGAAATTAGAAAGGCACTGCATATACTCACCAGCCACTTCATGTGTTACGGCCAGTCTCTCTTTTGCCTTCAGAACTGTCTTAATTCTCTGTGGCATCGATTCAACAAGGTGCTGGAAACATTCCTCGTCCATGATGCAAATTTCCTGTTCAAAGTGTCCTCTATTGGACTGAGATCTGGTGCCTGTGGAGCCCATGTCAGTACAGTAAACTGATCATGTGAAAGAATCCAGTTTGAGATGATTTGAGCTTTGTGACATGCTGTGTTAATCTGCTAGAAGCAGCCATCAGAAAATGGGAACACTGTAGTCAGTAAGGGATGGACATGGTCAACAACAATGCTCATGTGGTTTGTAGTGTGAAACGATGCTCAAACGCCCAAAGTGTGCAAAGAAACCCCATTAAACCACTAGCAGCAGCATGGGTGGTTGGATGGAGCCATGTTTTCATGCTGGAATGTTGCAGCAGAAATCTAGATTTCTCAGAAAAAGCAACATTTTTCCATTTTTCTTCCATTGTTCAGTTTTGGGTCCCTGTTCGCAGCTGGCAGGAGTGGTACCCGATGTGGTGTCTGCTGTAGCCCATTTGCTTTAAAGTAATCCACCCGAGAGAGATCGGTATTAGACATATAATTCAAACAGTTAAAAACAGTGTTACTGTGCTGTATCTTTTATTAAATATTGGCCATACCTGTGAAACCATACTGTAAATACATGGCTTCCATGACAGGTCCATAGAGCTTTGTAATATTTATTTTATGATGTTTTCAGTTGTTGTGAGAGATCGCTTCTTTATAAATTGTCTATAATAAGGTTATTTCATTTATCTATCAAACTATCAGCTTAAAGAAGTGGCCATTCTCCTCTGACTTCTGGCATCAACAAAACATTTTCATCCAGATAACTGCCGCTAACTGGATATTTGCTCTTTTTTGGACGATTTGCTGTAAACCCTAGAGTTGGTTCTGTGGAAAATTCCAGTAGATCACCAGCTTTGGATACTCAGACCAACCCATGTGGATTTAATAGCAATGCCACATTCACTGACACTCAGTTTGAATTTAAGCAGGTCATCCTGAACATGTCTGCATGCCTTTAAAGTACCTTTAACAAGCAGTTCATCAGGTGTATCTAAGTAGCTGATGAGTGTTTGTTATTATATAATTACAATAAAGCAAACACATGTTGCCATTTGATTTTGAATACAACAAAACAGGAAGTCAAAATAAATAGAAAACAAACCAAATTTGAAGAATTTAAATCTGTCCATTCAGCTCGTGACTCTTTGACAAATCATACAAATGACTGAAATGCCACTCAGATATACTAAATGTGCAGCTTTATTACACCATTAGTTTATTTACTTGAGTGCAGATACATTGCCTCTTGTAAGCAGATGCTGTTCCCTCTTTTTTTTTCTTTATTTCTCTTCATAGATTAACATGAAATGGGAGTCGGGCGCTGGGGAGGAGCTTGTTTCAGGCATTATGGAAATGTAGCGTTAATTGCCATAGATTTCACCTTCAAGCACAAGCAAAGATAAACTATCTCTCCCTTGGAGTCCACATTTTCTTACAAGTCTGTACATTTCTGTTCTGTTCATAACAAATAAAAATATCTTGGAGGGCTTGTAGGGCAATCAGAGACCTGACTAATTCATAATTACCCATCAGGCAGGTGCTGAGGCACCAGTAGAACCCAATCTGTGCTTCTGCATGTACCCTCATTAGGACATTCATCAGCAGACTGTTGAAAGCCATATAATTTGGGAGGAGGGATAGGGGTGTCTGAACATTTTACATCTGCTGCATCGTTTTCTAACAGACACCTCAGAAAACCTGATAAGATTCTGTAATGTGTAATGTCACAGCAAACAGTAAACGCATACAGTAAATGCTTACACGTGCTTTTTTATACTGTATATTTGTTTCCATTTTCTGTTGATGGTGATATGAAGTAATTTTCCTTCAGAAGTTTTTTATGTACAACAACAAATTGTGCCGTTCCTGGAAAAACACAGTGTCTCTGTTCTCTTTCAGTCGCTGAAAAATGATGACACAGTAGCCAAGAAAGATGTGCAGAGGATTTTGGAGCTGAGCCACAAACAGAGGTAAAGTGGGGCATCATGCATGACTTAGACATGAGCTACCAACAGTGCTGTGCAGTTCACTAAACTGCCATCAAAAATTAGGTTAGAAATTAATAACCATCAGTAAAAAATGCATAATGATAAATAAAATCATGCGCTGTCTCCTGTTATGCTGTGGTTGAGAACCTCTCGTGAATGTCTTGTATTGAGCTGGTATTCAGATTAACAAGATAATAACAGGTTCTTGTTTATTATTTATTTTTATTTGTTTTCAAGTGTATTTGAAAATATAGGAGAAGCTTTTGATGAAGATATAAGATAAAAAGGGTGGTAAGGATCCATTGGTTATTCATAGCTCACAGATACATTCCTAATGTTCTTGCTGCAAAAGCATATCCACGATTACACCACGTTTCAGTCTTAATCATCTAGTGACATCCTCAGATTCTGTTACATGTAGTTGTGCAAACCAAACTTTACAGTTCTGAGAAAACTGACAACCAATTTGCTTTTCAATCCTGGACTTGGAGTGAACTTCAACAACTGAGATTTGTTTTGTTCATGAATTTCAACCACAAAGAGTTTAAATAGCTTTCATTTGGATTTGTTTGTGTGACTAGTTGCTCTTCCTTAGCAACAGCACCCACAAAAGCTTATGAGTATAGTAATCATCTGAGCCACCCGCCATGCCAACATGACATGCCAGCACATTTTCTCTGCTGAAATAAGAGTAATAACATTAAGAATAAGAAATACTTTATTTATCCCAAAGCTTGTGAAATTGCTGTGTTTCAGCTGCCAGCACATGAAAAACAACATAGCTCAATAAACACAACACCACAGAACAAAATAGCTTGGAAAAGAAAAAAATATATATTAGACAAGGAGCTCGATTAAATAGATAACACACCAGGGTAAAAATAAATAAATAAATCTAAATATCATACAGTCAGGGTCTTAAATCTAAAATGAATATATACGAATATCTGGTATTAATTGGTAAAGAGTTTCTGTATCTGTCCTTGTGGCTTCTGAGCTCAGGTGTGTCCAGTTTGATGCGCAGTGGATGGTGTAGAACCATTAATTCACACCCAGTTATTTGGATGACTTCTACATGAGCTGATGATAGAAACCAACAGCAACAGCAGCAATGACGATAAGCCCTGGGAAATTCAAATGCATTCCAACAGCTAGTTGTACAATATTCAGTCCACCGAACTGTCTGAAATCAAAAAACACTTCAATCACATAGTGGTCCAAGAGGCGAGAGGAATGCAAACTGGTGGTTGTTGCATAGACCTGTAGAGTCTTTTGGTGATGCGATTCTTTCACGTTAAGTTTTGCAGTGTCTTTACACACTGCATAATATTTACTGGTGAATATAATTGATAAGAAAAACAGAATTCTCTCATTTGAACAAAACACTGCTTGTATTGTCATATGAAGATTTAAAAAATGGTGTCTGCATAATCACATCATGTCCATCAGGTATCTAATGGATATAAATAATGACAAGTAATGACTTGCTCATTGTTATTGAGGATGGTACTTTTCAGGTGTTGGCCAGTGTGTCTCCAGTACACACAGGAGCAGGTAGATAATTCATAATTCCATCGCAAACCTGTCTTGTGTATTTAAAATTGATATGCCTGTTTTCATTTTGCGAAAAAGCAAGCATCTGTGATTTAGACCTTTTTTTTTAGTGAGCTGAAAAAGTGTTTAGCTTAAGTGCTTTACCAGTTAGGACTGTCTGATTAATGTTGTGTGTAATGAGACTGCTAATGATTTGGAGTCATTCATGGCCTTCATCCTCCCTGAAATGTCAGCCTGACTGAAGTCCAGCTGTGTGTGTGTGTAGTATCTGGATAGCCAATCAATAGCCTATCAGAAGTCCATGGCAGCTCTCACATGTCATCAAGCTAAAAAACTATAAAGCAGTAGCTTGGCTCAGTGTTGCCTACCTAGCATTTGTGAGCCACAACTTTTTCAATGTGTTATTAATCCACCTTTAGAGTTCCAGTGTCTGCCAAGTGTGATTACCAGCTGGCTCCATTATCGTGAGTGCAGACAGGTGATTCATTGCAGGTCATTTACTTTTGTCAAGTCTTAACAGAAATTTGATTGGCTCCTGAAAATAATTTTGATCCAAAGAGCAATGCAAAAAAAAAGGTTATTGGAAAAAATGTAACAGTTTTTAAATAGCAATTAAAATAGCTTAACTTACTTTCATCCCTTTTTGTATTTACTTATTACAGACTCTTCAAGCCTGTGTCACATTGACTGTCTCTCTTTTGGCAGTTTAGACAGTTTTGATATATTATGTACAAACTCTTCCAAGTATTGGAAGCAGGAGATGTGAATATAAATGGAAAACCAAAGCAGGGGTGGTTGGTTGGTCACTGTGAAGAAAAATGTTTTTTAGGTTGAACTTATGCCAAGAGACAAGACCACTGGCATATAAAGTATAACAGTATATGACTGCTGAGCAGTGACATCCTTTCCACTCTGAGTGTTGCTGTACTGCCTTGAAAGATAATGTCCCCTAACTACACTACTGGGTGACTGTGACATACGTCATATACTTCAGCCATGCTTGGAAACAGTAAATAGGCTGTTACTTATAATTTTAACTGGGCTACCTTGTGATGTGATACAAGCGTTTTTGGTACCACTGACCCACATCCCCTGCCTCCTTGATTTATAATTCCCTGTTATCTGTGCTCAGGAGCACCAAACTATACTGAATTACAAATTACAGTCGAATGCATAAAAATTTAATTTTATGTTAAACACATAATTCATTCTGCATTAGTCATCACACCACATGAACCATATCAAAATTCAGGGAATTTTAATACACTGCAAGAAGCAATATAGCAGTGCAGTGCATTGCAGCAAACTTGGTCTTCTTGTATCTCGTCTTTCTCCTTGAACCTAACAGCCATCTCTTGCTGTTGGCTTCATGGGAGTGTTTGCTAAACTCTACATTTATAGATCATATACACAGAAAATTAAATTGACTGTAGTCAGGCCTTTTAAATTCAAACAAAATCATTAAATGATAATACATGTGAAATTGTTTAGGATCGAAGAAAGATGTGTGGCTGCTATGAACCAAAGTGTGAACCGGTTAACAAATGCCAACATCGTTTCCACCCTAATTGCAGTTACATGGCCCATTATTGCATCATCCATTCACAAATTAAGCTAATTATGTTTTTATCTTTTAAAAATATGTTTGTAAACAAAATATTTCCTTTTGATTCAAATTAATGAATTTGTTCATATCCTGCTCATAGATTCATAATAAAAATCATCCAACTGATCACAGATGACAGCAGATGTAAGCTGGTGACAAAGACATTAGTAAAATTTACTTCTGTCCAAAAAAATTGCTTTTAAGAGTGATATATCTAAGAAGGCCATTCTGTGGTAGAGCAGTCAAGACATCTGAAAATGTGAAGAGGAAGTACTAACAGAGTGTTTCTCACTTCCCTTTCACTTGACAGAGAGGAGATGAAGTCCCTCCAGGCAGCCTTGCAGAAGCAGCTGGATGAGGCAAATGAGAAAGCGGAGAAGCAGCAGGCCACGGTAAGACAGAGCTGACCTGACCATCAACATCCGGTCTTGTCTAACCAGCATTGTCACCTGTCACACGGGGCCTTCACTGATCCACACTCATTACCCAGCAGCAAGCTCCCGCCTCTATCCTTCACCATATAATTGAAACTTTCAGAGTGAACAAAAGCTTTGTGTCAGCTATTATTTTGTTTGAACAGAAGTCCAGAGTCCAAAGGTGGCAAGTTTACTATTTTATCATTTAAAAAAATAAGTAAGCCAAGGTCTAAAATTATTATCGTCAGCTGATTATCTAAATTGGAAGTGATTGGTTTTCTGTTAATTACTAAATAAACAAATCATTTTCAGCATCATGTTAGATAACAACATATGCAGATGATACTCTGCTTTAATTGCCAATGTTACAGAAGATGCAAAATATGCCTATTTTAGTTCAAAACACAACAAAAGCATGTTTAATTTTGTGATTATTTAAAATATACATGCAAACCATGGAAGCATGCAACATGTGTTACAAGATACGTGAAAATTAATTACATTTTAATGATAAAGAGGTTTTTGGTGTCAGTGGAAAACATCATTTCTGTTAACTCCAGTTTTAATAAAATCACAATATTTTAATTACTGAACCAATTAAAAGAAATGCACCTCTAAGGAGTTCAAATAATGTTTCTTTGCTACCAAACAATATGAGAAGCAATGAGTATTTACACCTTTAAATTATTACACAGTGGAGAATTCTATATTTAGTTTCAGCAGCTTTACTGCATTTGGTATCAGGTAAGGTTGAAAGCAGCCTTAATTTAAGACAAACTTTAATTTCTTCATCATGATGAGTATAAGTACTCATTTTAATGTGCTTGCTCTGAGAGGCTTTTTGTAGAATTCAGATTAAAAAATGTATTTTGGCATCGGCGGTGATGCTGCATTAATACACTGTATTGGCCCACATTTCTACTCTCATACTGTTCTGAGAAACCCTCTCTTGTTCCTCCACTTACTCCTTATCAACAAATCAGCATAAATCCTGTCTAGCTGCACTGACAGCTACAGTACTGGAATGCTTCTAGGACTTTCAATATATGCTAATGAAAATCTGGCCTGTAACAGTGCAGGCTTCTTATGCACAGTCACAGCGTTTAATGGGCACCGTGACATTACAATCGACAATCAAATCATGGACTCTCAGCGAGATAAACAAAAGTACAGTAACATTTCCAATGACGTGTGTGCCATTTTCCTTTGCCTGGTGACAAATCCCAGTTTCTAGTTTTTGTGGTTTGACATTTACATTCTGAAAAATGATATGTATCCCACTTTCTAAGATTTAAGATTCAAAATAGCACCTCAGCAGGATGTAAAAGCTACACATGTTCAACAAAACAATGAAATAATCTATTTCATTTCTAGTAGAAAACATGGCTTCTAAAAGTTCCTAGTGAAAAATAAAAGCATAAGGAGAAGCATATACCTTGCAAAATCACAAAAAAACACACATTACAAAGTTGCTAAATATTTGTTGACAGATATGGGTAATTACATTCAAGCCAATCTCAACATCAGACAGTATTTTGCCATAAGCAGAGAGATATCAGATATATCTTATGAAATATTTTAGCTACAAATATTACAATGACTAATTATTATTAATTGTTATTATTGTTATTAATATTTGGTTACATTTGAAATACTATTTCATATGTATATATGTATGTATATATGTATGTATAGATAGATAGATAGATAGATAGATAGATAGATAGATAGAAATATAACCGACTTGTACTCCCTTATCCTAATACCTAAGCACTGTAGAAGTTGTTTTTCTTTTCTTTTTTTTAAACTTTTTTTAACCATTCCTGGGGGCATTGGTGGTGACTGCAAGCCTCAGACATGAACCTTGATGTTATCATGCCCTGTTAGGGGATGTGAGTCAACTGGTGAGGCTTATTTTACTGTTCCCCAGGGTATGTACCTGACATGAGGGCACCAGACCCATGAATCTTTTCGTCTTTGTCCTCAGGACTATGTTGATGACCTCTTTCAAGGACGCATTTTGCTAAAACCTTTTTCTTTAGAGTTGAAAACTCAAAGACAAAACCATAACCTATCTATCTTACACACTGAATTCATTCGCTTAGATATATAGTAGCCCATGGCAGCAGTTTGCTGGTTGGTTTTTCAACCTCTGTATGGCTACAAGTCCGTACAACCACACACACAAACACACATGCCACAGGCACACTCTAATTTTAACTGAAAAATGAAAGACATACCAAGCTCTTGATGATCACTTGTTACGCCTAATTCTGCAAGGCACAAGAAGAATGTAATATGTTTTTTTTTGTCAAAGTTTAAAGGTCTTCAGGCCTTTGTGGTTGACTAAAAAGCTTGTTATTTTAAATGTAACTACTAACTTATAGCGCCCCTCTGCTACTGTCATTTTATATCTAATTGCATCAGTTTATGGTAAAGTACGGTGTTTATGTTGCCTTTTCATATAGTTTAACTGGAGGCTAAGTCGATTTTTTAATGCTCGCACTGGAATATTCAGAAACAGTCAGTGTGCTGTTGCATAGAAGCATGGATGACGTGTGAAAAAAATTTTTATTCAGAGGCATAATTAGTCAACCAGAATGTTCTTTCCTTCTCTGTTCTGTGTATGTATGTCTTTTTTCTAAGTCTTCTCAGGGACAGTGACAATGATTGAATATTGATGTTATCATGGTCAGGTTGGAGATGTGAGTCACCTGCTGTGGTCTAGTTTACAGTTCCCCAGGATGTCTTGGTAGAAAGTGGAAAAAAAACATTGGCTTGCATTTATTTGATTTTAAAAAATTTAGAAAATACATTTATTTTTTTTATATTTCATTCGAAATGAAGCATATGAGACCTATTTTTCAAGATTTATAGGATGTTGTCAGTAGGAACAAATAGGCTTTGGCTTTTATTCACATACAGAATTGCATCTGTTGAATGAAATTAATTACACATACACTAGGCAAACTCATCATCCATAACGGTCATTAAATATGTTCACTGATGGAAAAAAGCACACATGCATACAGCTGGACTTTCTATGTGATCATCTTTTTATCTTTTTTTTTGTCTTCCCTGTTTTCAGATTAAATTTCTTAAAGTGGAGATGGAGAAAAAAACCAAAATCATCAAGGATTTACAGCAAGAGGTGAGTCATCAAAATATTATCTAAAGCTGAATAGATCACACTACACATTCATAAGGTATATACAGACAGAAAAAAATATAAGGGAAAAATTGCATTGTCTCTACACAGTTATCTATAAAAATGCTATAAAATGTAGCATTTAAACAAATATAATGATATCATTGTTGGTGTATATTATTTTTCCATTTTAAATCTCAAATTAGTGAGACTTGACAGTGCTATCGTTCGCAATGTCGAATTAAAAATCTCCTGCTAAGAGCCTGTGATTGCTTTGACCATGGTTTACATAATTACATTATTGTTTTACATAATTTTCTTCCTTACCAAACCATTCAGTAACCCTTGTAGACAACTCTCAAGATATAAATACTTACCCTGGCTGACTATGGTCACTCATAACAATATAAAAGTTCTCTATTGGAGGGAAAATGAGATCATCCCAGCAAATTTTCTCCCACAGTGGCTCACCACAGGGGTGCGCAATTAAGATTGTCCTTTATTTTCTTACACATCTGTAGGTAACTTGAATGTTTTCTAATTAAATGATCAAGATCCCACCTTTCTGTCGGTGTTTTAATCAAACACAGACAGAAAGGTGGGATCTTGATTTTCTTGATTATCTGTGTTTGCCAAAAGCCATTAGATTATCCCCAGGGACTCAGAGGAAAGCGTGTTTGTCTCAAAGGTGGACAAACACTGGCACTGGGGTAAACATTTTCATTTCAACGAGTACTTTGAAATACAGTTTTATAAAATAAATGTTTTTGATCATGTTTGCAATCATGATTGCCATGTCTTCCACTCTTTGAGAATCTGGGCTCTCTTCCTCTGCAACTTCTGTGATGGATTTCTCTCTGCAGGGTTGTTCAACATCTGTGCAAAGTAGTGCCTCTAAAAAGAAGTTCTTTCTCTTTGATTCTGAGGCTCTGACACAACATCTAACACTTACTGCTGATGCCTTAGACAGCTTAAAAAAAGGTTCAGCTTGCAAATACCATTTTAGCCGTACTGAAAATATATGACTCTACGATATCTGCAATTTGGTTTGTTTTCTATATGAATAAAAAAACAATCAAATAATATATTCCAATAGAAAGAATCAGAACAACATGGCAACATCAGTAAAAGCTGCCTTTAGGGGTGTTTAGACCCCTAGACAGTTCTAATATTTTGTTTTTTGCTTATCAGCAATGTGACATGAAAGAAAAATGAAACATCTGTAGACTTTGCTGTGACAAATAAAATGAAATTGGATCCTACCATCCACTTAACTGATTTTACTGTGTTTTATAGCTTTATAGCGTTGTGACAATGGGATATTATACCAATTTTGTATGGATTCTGAATTCTCTTATATTGCAGATTTGACTGCAATATTTTCAAATGCAAATTAGAAAGAATCGGCTACGGGATTGATTTACTTATCAAGTAATTTTTACTTACTATAGTTTATACTAGTTTATACTACTACTACTAATAATAATAATAAATTAGCTAATAAACTACTAAACATGAGCATATGTGTATGAAAAAATATGTTTTGGAGCAAATAAGAGTTTCTTTTAATAGTTGGACAGATTACATAGGCAACTCTTAGTTTGCTGCCTATGATCACAAAGCCACGAAGTGCTTTTGAACGGCAAGAAAGCTATTTAAATACATCATAGGATCATGGGAAATGATCAAGAGATACTGGAAATTATACCACCATATTGCTCACTATTGCACTGAGGAAAGTGATTTTTGCCAGATGTTCAAATTAATTTGAGACCATTTTTACTGAGCTTTGCTTCAGTAACATGATCAAGTGCTTCAGATGAAGAATCAAACAGTCACATAATTATATCAGTTTACTGAGATCAATCTGTTTTAAGAAGAACCTTTCACGTTATCTTGCCCTTGACCTCCCTAGTGGTACTAAAATTGCTGCGTCTTCACAGTGTGCAATTTTATAGAGATAGTAGAGGTTGATCTTAAATTGTGTGTAAACCCATACCGATTGCCTTTAATTGTTCTCTGTGGAATTTTTGACCTCTAACATCATGGAGCAATGTTTTTTTTTTTCACAATTCACAAGTGACCTAATATCTAATTTTACCAGTTTACGATATTTCACACAGTTCCACAGATCTATACTGGAGTAAATGTACTTGGATACTCTGATGCACCATTATTCTTTGTAAAATTAACTTTATCACCTACTGAGTACATTTAGAAACAAAGGACCACTGAGAAATGGCGTTGTTCTGTGATTTTATCACAACTGCCCAAAAATTGGTGCACCAAACTCAAAAAAACATGGACTGTAATGGCTGCCAAAAGAGCTTCAAGAAAGTATTGAGCAAAGGCTGTGAATACTTAAAGTTATTCTCTTATAGGTATAAGACTGTTATAATTTTGTTTTTTTGTCAAGGTGTTTTTGTTTCACTTACAGGGTATTGTCTTTGGAATTTTGTGGTGGGAAATTTAATCCATTTTGGAAAAACATCACATGGCAAAATATGGAACAAGCGACATGCCATGAATACTTTCCAGATGCATTGTATATTGCAATGGTGTACTGTAGTACACACACATGCAGGACATTTAGACTTTCACAGTGGTGATTATTCTTCTTATTATTGTTAGAGAAATTATTACATTAAAAAACTATGTTTGGGAGTTTTTAGATTTTTATGAGTGGAAGATGAGTGAGTCAAAGACAGATGTGCACTTTTTCCCTTTTTGTGGCTAATGAGGGAAGCACTTCAGACTGTACTAGTCTGCCACTGCGACCCTAACACAATCTCTGCCCAGCCCACTGATGTGCAGAAACAAGTGTGACTGGGTCATTAAGCACATTTCAACCCTCCTGAATTGTCAGTATGGTACAGTCATTATAGTAAGGTATAAAAATAACGCTGCCTTGGGCTACTGTTAAATGCTACTTTTTTAGCCTCCTTAACTCTCTTGGGGGTAATCAGAGATAAATTTAGAAGCACTTCTATAATCAATCAAGTGATTTTCACAGCAAGAGCTTCCACGTGTCAGCAGATCAGTTTAACCTGATAAATAACCCATAAAGACGGCCATGATTTGACTTTGTAATGAACAATTACAAATGCTTTTGCTCTTAAACAACATCTTGATTTGGGAGTACAATAAAAGCACACAGACAAAGAACCATGACTTAACAAATGCTGGTCACGATCATTGCAGCTTATGTGTAATTTAAAGGCTTTACGCATTTTAATCCCTGACTACTGCTATATCGCATTACTATCTGCATACATTGTACACACCAAAGAGCTGGCAAAAAGCTTTGCCAAATGTAGGACGTGAATAAGAGTTTGAGAATTTAACTGCACTTTGTGGTAGAATTTCCAGAGAAATGCTTCTTCACACCAGTTATTTACTCAGATTTTCACTGCAATCAGCTGAACGAGGCAAAGAGCAGCAGAACAGATGACATGATTGTTTTCTAGGCCCTCCATTTCCATTTCACAGAGTGCTTCATTGTTGGCGTTTTTAGGTTTTAATGTTGTATTTCTGATTTACATTTCTTGGAAAATAGTCAAGAAGGTTAATAACTTTCATAGTCACATATGGAATGGGCTAGGGCTGCTCAATTAATCGAATTTTAATCACGATTACGATCTGGAATTTCAACGATCATTAAAAATGACTGAGCCGATTATTAGCCCCTCCCACCTTAAAGGCCGGTCCGTGAAAATATTGTCGGGCATAAACCGTCCGTGGCGCAAAAAAGGTTGGAGACCGCTGATTAAGAGGACCCGAGGGAAGCTCGGAAAGCTAAGCAGAAGTTATTTGGAGAGTGACTGCCGCTGGTTGAAAAGAGAGTTTAAAAAAAAAAAAAACTTCAGTGGTGTTGCACACTATTTTATATTATTTTTTTAAAGTCATTGTTAACCCTTTAGAGCCGGTCAGAGCAGCACGCTCCGTGTTGTGTAACTATTTTTAAATCCCTGTAGAACCTGAACCGTGTAAGCTAGCGCAATAATTTGTTTTGCATATGAAACCGGAGGAGTTGTACTTACATCTGATGCCATCAGCTTGTCCTCGGTCACGGTTTCCTTCCACATATAGCTTTGCAAAAATTGCATAAAAAGCGCTTGCAGGAACAAAAACATAATATTCAAGAAACACGCTTTGCCGATCCATCAGCTGTTCGTAACACTTCCCAAGACTTTGTGGACTGGTGCCAGCTGAACTACCTCCAGATCAACGCCAGTAAAACCAAGGAACTGGTGGTAGACTTCCGCAGGCACAAGCATTCTCCACTGCAACCACTGAACATCCAAGGTATGGACATTGAGGCTGTGGACAGCTACAGGTACCTTGGTGTTCATCTGAACAACAGACTGGACTGGACTCATAACTCAGACGCCCTCTACAGGAAAGGGCAGAGCAGGCTGTACCTGCTGCGGAGACTCAGGTCATTTGGAGTGGAGGGCCCACTCCTGAAGACCTTCTATGACTCTGTGGTGGCTTCTGCTATCTTTTATGGTGTGGTCTGCTGGGGCGGCAGCATCTCTGCTGGGGACAGGAAGAGACTGAACAGGGTGATCCGAAGGGCCAGCTCTGTTCTAGGATGCCCTCTGGACCCAGTGGAGGTGGTGAGTGACAGGAGAACGGCGGCTAAGCTGTCATCCCTGATGGACAACATCTCCCACCCCATGCAGCAGACTGTGACAGCACTGAGCAGCTCCTTCAGTGGGAGACTGCGGCACCCACGGTGTGGGACGGAGAGATTTCGCAGGTCTTTCCTCCCCACTGCTGTCAGACTCCATAATAAAGACTTTAACTGATCAAGCACACACATCCATACATATGCAATAATACTAAGTGCAATAATCCTTTCTGTCATTGTTGTATTTTTACTCAGTTGTATATAGTATTTGTATTTGTATTCTATTTTTATCTTATTGTATATTTATTTATTTTATTCTACTGTATATAGTATTTTATTTTATTCTATTCTGTACAGTTGTGTACTGTAT